ATTCCATTTGTTTCCTATGTTGGGATTCCATCCTGTTCCTCAGCTCCTCTATTTTTTTAATCTCTGTCCGCTCTAGATTTATTAATCATGCCTTGCACTATAGGCACAATCTTTGCTGTTATCTGAGAAATCATTTCTGATTTCATTTTTTCCAGATCCTCTTTTGTTGCCAGTTCAGGGAGTCCAGGTGATTGTGATTGAGTATTAGATTGTTCCATCTGGTTTCCCTTTGGGATTGCTGTAGGTCATCTAGAAGTCTGGTTTTGAGACTTGTTTATGTGTCTTCTCATTTCCACGGGGGAGGTGTGCTGCTGGCACCTGCATGGCTCACCTCCCCTGCCCTAGAGTGGTCAAATGGCAGTGGGTGAGCCTCCTCCTGGGCACTGGGATTGGCTCACCTCCTCTGCCCTAGGAGTGCTGGAATGGCAGTGGGGGAGCCTCCTCAAGCGCATCCTTCTTCATGGCTGAGTAGTACTCCATTGTATAAAAAACGCACATCTTCTTTATCCACTTGTCAGTTGCTGGGCATTTGGGTTGTTTCCAAGATTTAGCCATTACAAACTGCTGCTATAAACATGAGTGTGCATATATTGCTGTGGTATGATATTTTTCATTCTTTCAGGAATATGACAAGTACAGGTATAGCTGGGTCAAATGGAACCTCTAGTTTTCGTTTTTTGAGAAATCTCCACACTGGTTTCTACAGTGGTTGCACCAGTCTACACTCCCACCAGCAGTGGAGAAGTGTTCGTTTTTCCGCACAGCCCCTCCAGTGTTTGTTTTTGGTTGATATCTTGATAGCAGCCATTCTTTTGGGAGTGAGATGGAATTTCAGCACTGATTTTTTTTGTTTTGTTTTGTTTTTGGTACTGGGGATCGAACTCAGGATCTTGCACTTACCAGACAGGTGGCCATGCCACTGAACTAAATCCCCGGCCCTTCAGTGTTGTTTTAATTTGCATCTCTTGGATGACCAGTGATGTTGAACATTTTTTAATATATTTATTTGCTGTTTCTAATTCTTCATCTGAGAAATGTCTTTTTATTTCAAATGCCCATTTTTTATTGGCTCTTTAAATTTGGGGGGGTCTGATTTTTATGAGTTCTTTATATATTCTAGATAATAGTCCTTTATCTGAATAGCTGGTAAAAATTTTTTGTTGTCTCTTCACTGTGTTGGTGGTTTCTCCTGCTTTGCAAAAGCTTTTTAATAAGATGAGGTCAATGGAAACAGTTTTCAACCCCTGTTTTGTAATAAAGAGTTTTACTTCTTGTGGCTTGGTGACTTCAGGTAATTTCATAATGAGTATCACTGCATAATTTAATTTATGATACCCTTATCCTAGAAAATGTCATGTGTTTTCATGAATATGCCATTAAAATAGAAGAAAGTAATTTTCACCTCCTATTAAATTTCCCAGAAATCACAATGAGATCTTTGGTGTCCCATTCTTGTGTATCTAAACCACTGAAGCCAAGGTAATTATGAAAATACTGAATGGTGGTAATTTTTAAAAACACTACTGGGGATTGAACCCAGGGCCTTCACAACCCATTTTTTAATTTTTTATTTTGAGACAAGGTCTTGGTAGGTCACTAAGTTGTCCAGGCTGGGTTTGGTAATTATTTTTTATTGTAACAGTGAAGTTACTATTAGCACATCTAGAGTTAATATGTAGACAAGCATTGTTCAACCATGCAAACAATAACAGTAAAGTCCTAAGTAAATTCTTAGGGAGATTAGTAGTACAAGAAATCCAAGAAGGATTGTTGTGATTTAAAAATGAGAATCAGGGACAGGGGATTTAGCTCAGTGGTTTCAGCACCTGCCTTGCAAGTGCAAGGTCCTGAATTTGATCCCCGGTACCAAAAAAAAAAATGACAACAAAAATGAGAATCAAAGCATTGGTAGTTTGAGAATGAGGAAGGAGAGAGGAGGATTTGGAGACTATTTGGTGTTAGGTCATGGTTCCCACAGGCTGCCAGTTCCTAAGATTATTGTCTGTGGGGGGACATATGTATGTTTATACAAGATCTGGTAATTTTTTGTATACTTTTGATTTCCTCTTCACAGTTTTGAAGAAGTACATGACATATACTGAGAAAAGAGCCATGTTGGGCCAGCAGCAGAGTCTGCCATGTATTGCACCCCTGTTGACCCCGATGGAGGAGACACCACATATTATCTCTGCTCGAGTCCAGGGAAATATTCCTAAGTGGCTCAGTGGCTATCTACTTCGAGTTGGACCTGGGAAATTTGAGTTTGGGAAGGATAAGTAAGCCTAGATTTTGGAGAAAAATTTGGATTTCTTGGCATGGGCCGATTCTATGAAATATGACTTAATTTCCTCTCTCAGGTGTACATTTCCATTAGCTCTCTTTTGATTACAGATTCCAAACTGTAGCCCCAGGAAGAAAAAAAAGAATTATTTTTTGAAAGTTTTGCTTTTGCTGATCTGCTTAATATTGTAAATTTGAAGCACTCTGTGAATTTATGCCAAAAAAGAGAGAGGTATCAGGAGCTCTCTGTATGACTACCAAATTGTTTTGCCACAAGTTCCTGAGGGAAAGGCAATGTCTTCACCTTCTGCCACTTTCTCCCTCACCCTATACTCCCCGGACACAGTGGCTTCTTTCAGTTCCTTATACTGATCACATTTATTTTTGCTGAGCATTTGGCATCAGCTTTTTTTTTTTTTTTTGCTTAAATTCTTTTATTGGTACATTTTAGGTATACAACACGTTTACATTTATCATTGGGTGCTTGTACCTGTACCTCATGTATCTTGGTTCTTATTTTTTCCCCATTACCTGTGCGTCCTTCACCCCTCCACCCTTCCCTATTCACATACTTCATTTCCATTTTTTTTCTTTTCTCATAATTTTTCCTTTCCATTCTTCCCTTTCCCCATCTCCTCCCACCACCCCTACTCCTTTGGACCTTTTCCTATTTCAAAGTATCAATTATTAGTTATTAATCCTTTTAATCCTTATTTACACTCTCAGTGTCTCACACTAGAGAAACTATTTGGTATTTACACGTGTGTCTTATTTCACTTAAGAGTATGACCTCAATATGCATCCATTTAGCTATAAATGACTCTAGTTTCTTGTTCTTTATGGCTGAGTAGTACTCCATTTTATAAAAAATCCACATCTTCTTTATCCAGTTTCCAGTTAATGGGCACTTGGGCTGTTTCCAAGCTTTAGCTATTACAAACTGTGGCATCAGCTTTTTTAATCCTAGCTTTCTTGATCTTCTCAGGTTTGATTCCTGTCATTCAGATATCAGTTTAAATATTGTGTCCTTTTAGCCTTCCCTGACTTCCCAATCTGAAAATACTGGGATATGTTACAAGTTTGTGCAGCACTATCCTTGGGTAATACTTTTTATTTATATATTGGCTGTGTTTTCCCACTGGAATGTAATTTCCATGAGGGTGGGGACTTTTTCTACTTTATCTGTTATCCCCAATATCTAGAACAGTGGCCTATACCTAGATAGCACTCAATAAATACAATGTAAATAATGAAAAGCCAATAACTTGTTAGGATGTAAGTTTTCTGTGTATCTGGTAGGGGTATGAAGTTATGTGAAGAAACTCCTATAGCTAGGAAATAATCTGCTTTATTTTTAGCATTTTTAATATTAGAAAAATTTTTATTTTACAAATTTTTACTTGTATAAAACTATGGAAAAGGAGTGGGGCACATCCTCTCTTAACGCGTTGGTGCATTGCCTGCCACTCTTCCCCACTAGTTCTATACATTTGTTCTAAATAACAGCAGTCATAGGTAGAATTTTTTCTGCTTAAAAAACCTTTCACATTATCAAAAACCTTTTTATTTATGCTGCTACAAAATCTGAATGACCATTTTATTTATTTATTTATTTATTTATTTATTTATTTATTTGAGAGAGGGTCTTGCTATATAGTGCAGTGCTTTGAGTGAGAAGTGCAAATATCTTCAGGCCACGTGGAGACTGGACACTCATTTTGGAGATTAGCTCCTCAGATTAGATTTAAAGGGAAGGGGGCCGGGAATTTAGCTCAGTGGTTTCGCTGCCTGCTGTGCAAGCACAAGGACCCAAGTTCGATCCCTGGTACCAAAAATAAATAAATGAATAAATAAATAAATAAATAAAAATAAAGGGAGAGATAATATTTACAAAAAAAAAGAGTAGGAAAAATTTGCCGGGGATTTAGCTCAGTGGTTCTGGCGCCTGCCT